TGTCGCAGAAGATCGCCGATGGCTTGCATCCGGAAATCCTGACCGGAAGCTAAAGAAGGCTCCATTGGCGCTGGCAAGAACTACTCATGTGCGGTCTACACCACCCGAGCGTCCGTCGGTCGACACCCCCGAAGCCAGAGACGGGTTGACAAGCACGAAGCGGAGGGTTTTATCCACTGCCACCGGAACAACGGGAGCGATGCCCAAACAGGCCCAGCAAAACGGTGCAAGAAACGGCATGTTGTCCCAGTGATGTGATGTCGCTCGAGGCAATACATCAACGCGGTCAGAGCTCGACAGGTGACCGACAAGAAACTGCCGATAAGGATGACGAAGCCCTGTCTCGTCATGATAACGACAACATGCCAGCGTTACGCCAGTGCTCTGGTGCTTCTGGACCTCCGCGGAGCAGTCATCACAATCAGCTTGAAAGATACAGGGAATCTCAGCCCAGCGCAGCTTCCAAGGCCGTCATGCCTTTCTCAAAGATCCTCAATCCGCTCGGGGGTACCCAGAATAAATAGTGACGCTCCGGCCATACCGGGCATCCCACCCCCAGCTGCTCATACTGAAGCGCGCCCTGGGATTTGCCTGGCTCTGCAGCAATAACCTCAGAGTCTCTCAGGTACCACTCAGGCTGCTTCCTGCTTTCACCCGTCCAGGACTAGGCTTCCAGCTTCACGACTCCAGGGCTCTTCAAATGACCCACAGCCTTGAGAGTGCTCGCGGGAGCGCATCGTGCATGGCTGGAGCTCCCAAGCAAACTTAGTCTTAGTTGCTTGCATAAAAGAGAGGCGAGGGAATCGATTTTCCCTCATCCAGATGTGCCTGCACAACTTTCGCATTCAGCCTCCGTGCCATTCGCGCCGTCTGACTTCTTCAGTGGCCTGCAGGGCCGCCGCCGGAGTTTCCTGAAGGGCCTGCAGGTGATGACATGAAACATCATGAAGCAAGAGCACATAAGAGCACCAAGCAGACGGTAAACGGGACCTCCTCCAGACATTGCACCTCTCCCTGAAAGTCCACCATCGCCTCCGCCAGACGACTGCACCATCATCGAGACCGAACTGCCTTCACTGTCTGGCTGCTCCGCAGGGTCCTCATACAGCGGATGAGGATCATCAGCGCTTGTCCTTACAGGCATGCTGCATCAATGAATCGAAAAGGCAGATTGCTTCAGTCTAAGCTCTCGTGAAACTCACTTGTGGAAGGCAGCCAGACGGACCGCTGACGTGGGGTCCAAACATCTTGCCAAGCATCGCTGGCACAGGCGCCTGTGCTGCAGAGCGCTTCTTCTCGCTCTTCTCTGCTGCCTTCCGGGCACACCCATCGAAGCTTCGAGTAGTTTGACGTCAGCAGCTGGAGCAGGCCATCTTGTAGGAGTATTTGTCCGTCATGATGGCCCCTTCCTGCAATGAAAGATATACCCCCTTTAAGGCAGCCAACTACTGGCTGTGTGTATAGCCTCCTCTTCCTCCTCCTCACCAGAATCGAGGGCCTTCATGCAGACTGTACTCCTGGCGGCAGGTGCACAAGGGGAGCACGAAAACTTGCTTCCACACTTCACACTGGCAACGGCTCCTGACTAAGTGCACCTGAAGCTCCTGAACCTGATAGGTCGTTCCCCCTTTTCTAGCCCGGCCACGCCTCGCGTAAGCTAGCGAACTTGTGTACATTCCCCTCAGCTTGCACCTTCCAGGACCCTGCCATGATACGCCCGGGGTCCGGACATGCCTCATGTAAAGTTCCCCCGTAGCTTCTTAGCTTGCCGCATTCCAGAACAAACGCGAACGCTTGAACACGCTGCGGGGCGATTTCGCATCAACTTTAACTCTGCATACCCCCCTTAAACGAGAACCCGTCTGCTGGGTTTGGGAAACACGGGTCCTCTGAGAGAGCAGTCCCTTCGGCTCTGTCCTATCATGCCAAGATCTCTCGCGGGGCCAGCAGAGGCAGAACGCGAAACTCTGACCAGTGTGCCTGAGGCTTTCCTCAGCCAACTGAAGGATCTTGGTGCCCTTGCGGGCATTTGCACCCTGGCTCAGCCAGGCAGTAGACAACGATATCTGGACTCTAAACTCTTCCAGAGACACACATCATGAGGCCGAACCTCTGAGTGCTTCGGCACTATCTGGAGGTCATCACATTCTTGATCCTGCGGCTTGGCGCTCAAGTCGTTTCGAATCAGCGGAATGACTGCGTCCTGAGACCGCTCTTGGCCAACTGTCGGCTCGAAGAACAACAGCTTGCACACGGCACCTCTGGAGCACAGCTTCCGAGCGCAACTCAACGACAGCTTCATAGAACTGAATCGGGTTTTTAAAAACCCTCTTCTGCTTTTTGAAAGCCCTCCTCCGCTACAACATTTTCAGCCTTTTGCAGCGTTTTGCATTTTACTGGGCTCCCTGCAGATATCAGAGCTGAGAGCTCAGGCGCTGGCGTCCCAGGTCATTTACATCGAGCCCTGCCTTTGAGGCAAGTTCACAGAGCTCCGCAGCCTGGCAACGGATCTGCGGTGCGCGAGGCAGAAGGGCGCAGCATGGCAGCATGCGGCTCGCGCCGCCGGTGCCTTTGGCTCCAGTCGCTGCGCCACCTTGGCGCACCTGAGATGCAAGGCAGCCCGCTCCGCTCGCCAGCTCCGCTCCGCTGAGACGCGACCAAGGACCAAAAAGGACTGAGAGCGGAGGAAAGGAGCAGTCGAATCTGTGGAAAGATCGAGAATGGCACTCTGTCAAGACCTCGTCATTGACTTTCTCCTTGCCTTAGCTCAATTTAAACAGCACTTTGGGCATGGGCTTTGGGCACGGCACTGACGTCACGGGGCGGCACATCCCTCTGCCAAACCACGGAATGCGTTCATCCACTTCGGATCAGCGGTCCCCTGACAGCAGCACGAAGCGAACGAAGTACGCGAAGTGAAGGTAAAGCAAGATCATCAAGATCCTGGTCCTAGCTCCTCCAGGCGGCCTGGCCTCAGAGATTTGTGCCTTCTTCTTTGACCGACTCTTCTTTGAAGGAGACGATGGCTGAGGTGGACACCTGAATAGCAGAAAAACTCTAACTCTGCGTTCTTCGAGAACCTGCTGCTCCGTCTTAGCGCCCTGCTGTGAAGCATCTTTGCCGCCTACTACAGGCAGCAGCATGCAAAGCTTCGCACATTTGACCGGGGGCCGTCTTATGCCCTCTTCAGTGGTGTTTACACTTCGACTCTGGAAGATCTTTCAGAATGTTTCTGCCACATTTCCAGGTGGGCACTGCTCGGTGAAGGCGTATCGTCGATCCTTTGTTGCTTAATTAACCTTGCCTCGGACAGCGAAGTGCAACTAAAACCCCTATCAAAGTCACGACGCCTTCAAGTTCATGGAGAAAGGCTGCTGCTGCCTCAGTCTGGCGAGTACAGGACAAGTCGGGGTCCAGGCATAGATCTGGCCGCCCAACCCTGCCAGCACCCGCAGGGGTTGACGCGTCCTTTCATGTGACAACGGTTTCGTCGAAAAGACTCCTAACGTTGCACTCTCGTTTGACCTCCAACCTATGCAACAAAACCGCAACAAACTATTCGACAAACGGAAGCATCTGTCCTCAACCGCCATACCTCTACCACGGAGGCTTAGTGTCCATTTCGAAGTACTGCAGCTGCTTGGGAGTGGTGGTGTGTCGTCACACTGCAATATTCACAATCAGCCTTTGGTAAATGGCTGCCAGCCATCCTTCAGATATTACTGTGGGACCCCTCTTACGTTTGCAAACTAAACATGCTTCGGGCCCTGGGCTATGAAGGTGGGCGAGCCAAAAGCTGACAAGAGAGGAGTGCTGGAACTGAGCATTCCCGGTGCATGGCATCTTCACCACCCTTGTCCTTTTAGAAGTAATAGACAGAGCCCTATACCTATATCCCTTATGAGTAGGAATTATTTAAGAAGGTCTACTAGCCGGTCTGCTTATTCTTTTGGGGGAACCATGAAAAAGGACAAGGCCGATCTTCACGAGATATTGACATGAGCGCCGGCCCGGATGTGTGTTCTTTGACTCTGCGTATCTCGCTTTTTCAACATTCCCGAGGTTGTTTGGAGCTAATCGTTACGGTCAAGCCTTTGCCTTCGGCAGAAGCTGGTTCCGATGAACTCTGAAGACAGGGCAGACATGCATCGAAACGGCGCATGTGGTCTAGACTTGGTGTAGGCCGTGCTCATCCAACTCGAAAAAAGTTTGGCGGCTCCACGAAAAAGCTTGCGACATGGTGCCTGCATGTAATCGTGCCTTCAGCGCCAGCAGTTCACCTTTCGCTCTTTCTGGTTCCACCAATACTTGCCATGGGTAGTCGCTGGCCGGAAGTCTTGTTGCTCTTGTCTCGCCTGCCCAGGCGGCAAAGACAACGCTTGAAAGCTCACGGCCGAAACTCAACAGCCAGTTCGCCCCGGGGCCTTCAACATTGCGCTTCGCGCAATGCTGGCCAGCAAGGGGTCTGTTGACTGCGTGACCAAGGGCTCAGCTACCAGTTGGGTCGTAGAGCGTTCTGGAGGATTCACCATCAGCCTGACAGGTCATCCGCGCAGGCTTGCAATGCTTGCAATTGCCTAAAGTTCAGAGCTGTAGAGCTGTCATGCAGCCACTGCCCGCTTCCGCCAGCGTTCCGCCTCCTCCACTCCTGGCGTCGTGGCAGAGAGCTGGAGCTCAGCGTCGGCTCCGAGCGCGTCTTCTTCAGAGACATGGCTGCAAGTGATGCTGCAAGCTGCAAAAAGTCCGGAGTGTGCGAGTGCCCCCAATGTGCGAAGTGCCGCTGTTCAAGACATCTCTTCGGTATCCTTCGGATGACAGATGCTCCCTCAGTGTGTGCGTGTGCGTGAGCAGTGGTGCTTCTTGCAACGTCATGGTGTGTCACTGCTCGAGCCGACATGCACAAGCCGCACCAAGGTGAAGTGTGTTGATATGCCGAAGCGCTGTCCTGTTGCCAGTCTTCGTGCGAGCACTGACGGACCTCGCCCTTTTCTGCACAGTCACTAACTGCGGTGAAGATGCTCGCCGTTCTGCTTCTGTGTCGATTGCATCCTGTCAAGGCTGACCAGGCTGCAACAGCAATCTAGCTAAAGCTTTCAAGGCAAGGACCGGAACACCGCTGCTCTCCGAATCTGAAAGATCTCAGCGCTGGGCATGCCAAGAGCTACCTTCCGACTCGAAGCGGATCGAGAGGTGAAGCACATAAAAATATCAGACGTTGAGATCTGCGGAACCTCTCTGCTGAAGCTATATCTCCCATTGGGTCCACGGCCTCGACGGTCCAGAAGAAGTTCAGGCTGCAAAGGATCACTTGTGATCCAACCTGCTAAGCAATGCTAAGCACAGACTCGAAACCATGGTCTGCTGGCGTTGCACTAGCATCTCAGGAACCGACCGACTGGCAGTACCCGTAACTGCCAACCTAGATGCCCGAGACTGCGGAAAGTCTTTGACTAAAGCCATCTCAAGGAAACGCTTTAGTTTGTTCTATCTTGGCTCGACGTGCAAGCTTTCGACTAGTGGCCAGTGGATGCCAGTGGCTAATTATGCTGCGACCCCATCGCAGTGCCAAATGGTGCCACCAAGCCGTCGCAATGCAGCTTCCTAAACCTACGATGAGATGATGCCACAGTCGCTCTGCGTCCGCCACCGTAACAGAGGTTGAAAAGGCTGTTACTGTTCCGATCCGTTGCGAAGCTCTTAGCACTGCAATCGCGAAAAAATCCGTTCCTACACAACCAGTCCTGTCTTGCCGAAATGGGATGGGATACATTTCACCCTTGTAGGATCAGCGGTTGGGCCCAATTGCTAGTGTAAACCACTTCCTACCAGTGAAGTACAATGCTTCAGCGCTCGATCCGTGGCCCGAGCAGCCGACGCCTCAAGCTTAGGGCGCGGCTGCAAATCCAGCTCCGCGGACGACTTGGTGAAAGTGGTACCTCAGATGGGCATTCGCACAGCTCCATGAATGCACTGCACCTTGCAGAGTGCAGATGCATTCCTTTGCTGCTGCAAGGGCCGGGGTCGGTCTTGGCTTTGCAGCTCATCTATCTTTGCGCTTTGAGTCCGACTAAGCGACTTCCACTGCGAACATTTTGAAACTCATGCTGATGCTGGAGCTCCTTGCTTGAGCTTGGTCTAACATCGTCAGGCCCACTGGCAAAATCGGCCAGGAACAGCTCTGGGCAACGTGCAAGGTAATGGAATGTCATGGCTGTTCTGAAGTCGATCTGTGCACGGCATGCTTCAATGAAAAGCGCAAAAGCCAGGTGTCCGGCACGAGGTACGGATACCAGCCAAGTCTGAGAACCACCTTAGTTCTCACGTGCTCTCGACAGAATCCTGAACTCCCATACTTCCAGCCTCCTCAAACACTGTGTAGGACACACTGAAACCAAGGAAACTACGGCAACGCTGTCACGGTGTGGCACGAAGCATGCCGACGAGCCCAACATGTTGCAGCAGGCTAGGACAGATCGAAGCCGTGGTGGTGTTTGAGATTTGGCAAAGGATTCCGGCACGGCACGGTAAGCACCGCACCCAGGTGAGCAGATGAGCGGCACGCGTTGCTGGCCCCTTGAAAGCCTGCCGTCTAACAGCAATTTGTCACCAAAACACCGTCAGAAACCTGCAAGTCCTGCCTTGTAGATGGCGAAGCACATTGTATTGAGCTCGACTGCAGTGCCTCACTGCACAATCCCTGAAGGAACACAATAAGCTCTGGAGCGGCAAACTGCATCGAAGTCACAGTATGCCGTCAGGTGCGCGAAGCCTTCGTGGCTAAGAGGAAAGCAAACGAGCCAAGCAGCCGTCACCTGAAGCGCGGAAGCTGCCATGATTCAGCTCTTCTGCTCAGTGTGCAACGGTTGCTCAAAAGATGCCTCCGAGCCACGTGGTGAAGCAGAATGCTGGCCTGGGCCCGGACAGATGGCCGATTTCTGCGAGCTGCTTCACTGATGATTTCTGACTTCTGGCTCAGGGAAAGTCCCAGCGCCGCCTCGAGGGTTGGCACTCAGGCACCTGTGTGCTCGGACGGTTGAACGCACCATGTCACACCATGAACAGACATTGCCAAAGGCACACCATCAGGTTGTAGATCGTATCCAACATCGTGTAGCTCAACACCTTCGAAACGCAAAGATGCTTTTGTGATCTTTTGTGGCCAGTGACTGGCGCAACACCGATGCTTTTGAATGTCACGAAATCAAGGCGCCGCACGCTCCATGACAATGCTTTGTGAGCTGCTGGTGACGGCTTTGCCAAAGACCAACCTCGAAGCAGCGACTGGCAACACGACGGTTTAGCTGTGAGCTCAGATGCCTGTCAGAAGCACCAATGGAGGAATCGCAAAGAGGTTGAAGCCTAGGTGTCAACAATGCCAGATGCTTGGCTGAATGTTCTGACACAACCAGGGCTGGTGCAATTGTGAATCTCTTGACGCCTCTTCAAAGCTTCTGATCGGCATCCATTGTCCATGCTCAACCGTTTGAAGTCATGGTCCGTGGTATGTTTGCCTTGCTGTTTGCGCAAGTCTCAGGATGACTTAAGAGTCTCGAGCACAGCGAGCTCGCGAGCATCAGTTGCTTGCACTGTCATCCGCCATAGAATGCACCGGGCCTCTACTTGCAACATGTGACATTCAGCACGCTCACAGCAAAGCCTTTGCTTCACTTGGCAGCTCCTTTGAAGCTGTTCCGTCACGTTCGCCAAGCTTGCAGCCGCCAAGCCGGCCAGATGTCAGGCAGTAAGGCAGCCACATCACATTCCATCGTCCTACCATCAAGATGCTTCAATGAATTTCGACCGATTGCGATCGCTAAGTCGCGACGCGTCGTAGCTGTACACATGCAGTTCCGCAAATTTCAGGAATTCACATTTGGGACTTCAATGTTCATAGTGCTAAAGCAGCAAACACTGCCAAATTCCGCATGCCCTGCTGTGGAGGACATCATTTTGCGACAGCCGCGCTGCCACTGCTCACCACGCGGCCCAAGACGTCCAACCTGACAAACCCCCGTGCTATTCCTCTCACACTCGAGTCTTGTGGGAGGTTGACTCGTGTTGCCCTGATGTACTATGAAAGTTTTTTACCTCAAGTTTTGGCAAGCTGCAAAGTGTCTGCTGCAGGACGAGACCGCGGACTGCAGGAGAGCATGTGAAGTGCAGCTTCTAACGAGCACTGCTCGCATTGCTTCGCATGCTCATGGCCTGGCCTCATTCGCAAACATGGCAAGATGAGAGCCCGAGCTCGCGGATCGGCATCATCAGGAATGGTCGGGCCGTTCTTCTTTACGATCAACTCAGGGCGTGCGCAAGACTAAGACTAAGACTGCATGCAAAACACCAGTGTGCCAAGCGACATAGATACCAGGACTGTACATCCTCATCCCGCACCTCCGAGATGATCGCGGCCACATCGCTGAGGCTGCTGAAGGGCACCACGGCACAGAAGAGCTCCAGCATCACGCAACCCATCTGCCAAATGTCCACCTTTTCCGATATGCGAACGTTATTCGTCTCGGTCTCGAGCTGCTCTGGTGCCATGTACCTGGGGGAGCCCTGCAATCCGCACACCGTCATGTGCGTGGTATCTGGGTCCAGATACAGAGTGAGGCCAAAGTCACAGAGTTTGCAATTCAGCGAGGCATCCAGCACGACATTCATGGTCTTCAGGTCTCGATGAATAACGTGCCGTTCGTGCAAATATGACAGACCTTCAGCGACTTGACAGCCCATCAAAGCCTTCTGCCTAAAGCTCAACACTGGTCTTCTGCAGAATAGCAGATCCGACAAATTTCCCCCGGTCATCAGCTCCATAACGAAGATTAGCTGGTCTGCAGTCTGCGCGAACCCAAAAAAGGACACCAATCGGGGGTGATGCAAGTTGCACAGAAAGCCGAGCTCCTTCAGCGTGACCCGCCTTTCGTTGGCTGTAGTCTGCTGGCAGATCTTGACAGCAACTGAATGTCCACGAACAATCGCCTTCCAAACAGAGCCGAAGCTCCCAGAACCGATGTGCACCGTCTTCTGAATCTCGCCGGCCTCAACTCGTGGACTCCCTGAGAAAGCTCTCTTTGTGCTTGGGCTTGCCGCTGTGGGGCTCTGCAGCGTTGAGCCTGGTTCAAGGCTGAGCCCGGGCCCGGGCCCCGGGCCTTGGGCCTTGGCCTTGGCTCGATGCGTCGTCTGAGGCTCCGCTTTCGCCTTCGGAGGCGGTCCCGACGGTCCCACCGGCGGTCCCGTTGCGACTCTTCGTGAGACCGGCGGTGCTTTGCCTTTGAATCCGCACAGAGCGGCGGCGGTGGCGGCACGGTCAGCGGCCTGCGGCTGCGGGAGATTGCGGCAGATCTTTGCTGGCAGAGCTTGTGGGGGGAGACGTCTTGGGCTGGGCAAACGAAGGACGGGCCCCCCACACAGCCGAGGTGCCGAGGTTGGACTCCTTGGACTGAGAGAAGCCTCGGCCTGTCTCAGCACTGGGGCCGAGTGACATCGGCCTTGGCCTTGGGCCGTCGCCAGCGGCCGCAGGCGATCGGAAGAAAAAGAGCGGAAAGGCAGTGCTGAGGCTGTCGATTTCTGTGTGAAAACCACTGGCCGTTGTACGGACACCCACTGCGGCATCGCTTCACAGGAGCGTGCGGAGCGTGCGGAGCGTGCGGAGCGTGCGCGTAGGGGAGACACAGGTTTGGCCTGCTCCGGAGCATCCAGCTGCCCCTGCCTGGGAGAGTAACTCTTCTGTGAGCACCCGAATGCATGAACGGTTCTGCGCGGCGAGGCCGACTTGGGCGGATGGTGTATTCCACCAGAAAGTCCCCCTACCGAGATGCAGGGCGCAGGCGCTCGAAGCGCACACCTGGCCGGGTCATAGGTGCCCCTCGGAGTTCCACCCACACTCTGGCTCCTGCGTACTCCACTTGGCTGCAACACACGACACTTGCCTGAAGCTTCTCCACAGTGCACGAGAGGCGTGGCAAGAGAAATGCGAACTTGTGGGCCATGTGGGCAACTTCCGGCATCGCCATGCCAAATGAATTCTGCTTGCTGCCTGACTTGTCTCCAGAACCTGTGGGCAAAATGATGACCCGTGCGACTTTGGTTTCCGAGGCAATAGCAGCACCACCATCATTATGCAACCAAGAAGCACTGCACTTTGCTGTGGAGTAACTTGAGCACGTGTTGACAAGTTGCGCGCCGGAGACAAGCCTTGGCAATTGTGGCTTAGAATTGCAGTTGATCCACAGACGAAGGAGCGACAGAATACCTTCTGAGATGAAGACCGCGCTGCGCCGCATACTTCCGCGGTTGGGGTGGAAACCTGGGCCGATCTGACCACACGTTCCAGACTTCAACAGAGCTCACGGCAGCATCAAGACAATCGCACCGTGTTTCTGCAGCCTCGTGCCCTGTCGGTCTGAGGGAGACGCTGGCACACGATTTGAACGGATGGCCGATTCTGCGGCATGCGCCGATCATGCATGACGACAATACCCTTGGGACTTGCGGAGTGCATGGGGTTTGTTGTAGGATGTGTTCAACCTCAAGGCCCGACAGCAAAGAGCAGTGATATCTACAGCTTAGCATGGCATAGCCTCACTTCGCGATTCTGGCAACGCTAGGCTTGAACCAAAACCGAGTAGCATGCCCAGTGAATATTGCACTAGGCAAAGAGCAAGGCACTGCGATGGAGAACCCAGGTTTCGCTGCGTGCCGGCACATTTGAGCATTCTGGTTGGCACGATCGCGCATGGCCACTTTGTGCACTGGGGGAGTCGAAGTGACTGGAAAACTTGCCGTCTCAGGCCAGCCGTATCAAGTGCAGCACCTGCGCTTGGCACCACCAAAATCATATCGTCGCAGCATTCGCAGACGAATCTCCCCTGACTGCCGGGCGCCTTTCCAGCCCAACAACTTGCTTCGCGGTTCACGCTTTACGCTTCGCCAGGCAAGATCCTGTTGCGGTTTGGGTTTAGGATTCCACCTTTTGATGCTTGCCGGGTCACCGCAGCCAATGTCATCCGGTCTATCAGAGCAGAAAGCCAGTTCTGGCTGGGCTGGATTTGTGCATTTGGCAAGACGCCACCGTTCTTTCACAGGTGATGGCTTTGGTGGCTTCCCAGTGAACATCGCTTTGCAAGCTTTCGGATTTCCTACCAAGTATCTCCCTCTTGAGATTTGACTGCAACATACTGCAACGTCAATGTGGGGCGCAATGGTATGGTTCCCGGCTTCGCCCACCAACATCTCCGTTTGGGGATTCTAGGGCTGCCTGCGGGTTCTTCGGGTTCAGCCTCCAAACCATTTCCCTGTCACGTTTCGTGGCCACTCAGGCTGTCGTCCACAGGCACGGGTGGTGCTTCCTAGCGGTCCTAGCGATTATCCAGGAACGGCGACTGAGAAACCATCACGCTCGGCGCGAGGCTGCTGTCGGAGCGACGCACCTTGTTGAAGATGATCTCTGGCAGCTCGAACCAACCTCCGCGGAAGGCTGTTACGTGAAAACTGCGTTCAATGAATAATCCTATTGAAGATCCCCATTTGCGAAATGGCTGCCGTTAAACGCATTTGGGGTTGGTCGGAGGCTTTGGGAGCTCGATTTCGGTTCGGGGACTGGGGCCAGGAACGCCAGCAAAGCTGAAACAGGTCTACAGTCTACATGCATTTTCCAATGGGCATGTCGCGTTTAGGGTTTTGCACTGCACCGCCTTGCCAGAACCGGCAGATGTACTTAGATCGCACACACTTGCCTTTGCAATGTTGCATGGGCATCATTTTTTGTGTTTAGGGAGGGTGTGAGAGTGCCGTTTTGGGGCCCTGGTAAACCAAACGAAAGCATTTGCAGTCCTATTTTCGGGTTGAGGGACGGCATTGAGCTCCAGATCTGCTGAAACAAAGGCAGCCTTGGGAGTAGGACCAGGGGCATCAGCAAAGCTGGAACAGCATGGAACAGTTCTGAATAAGTTTTCCAAGCCTTGAAAAATGCATCTTGAAGCTCTGGAAAGCAAATTAAAGCATGTGCAGAACAGATTTTCGGTTGTAGGGACAGCATTGAGAGATTGGTTGAAACCAGTGCCAAATGCGTTTGGCAGGCCTTGGAAACTGCGTGTGGGCTTGGTCGGAGGCTTAGGGGGCTCGAGTTCGGTTCGGGGACTACACCAGCAAAGCTGAAACCGCTTCTCACTGCGTTTTTCCAGCCTTGAAAAGTGCATTAGGGGCCCTGGTACCCGCTCCAAAACGCTTCTCCGGAACCCGGAACCATCCGGAACCCGTCCCGGAACCAAGTTCCACGATGGGTTCTGCCGGAGCTTCCAGCCTGACTCGCCGTCTTTTGGGAGCTGTATGTCATCGAAGCGGAAGCCTGTTGAAACAAAGACTCAGCAACGCGGTAGAGATTTCTTTCAACCTGCCTTCGGTGGAACTCGGAACATGGATGGCTGTCCAGCTCTCATCGGCTCCATCTCGAGCCAGCTCTTTCGAAGCCTCTGCCCAACAGCACTCTCCTGCTGACCTCCGTTCTGGCTGCCTTGCAATGCTTTGCAATGTCTTGCGGTCAAGGGGCCGTGAAAAGAACAACCCGCCGAGCCTTGGAGGGGCAGGACCGCAAGTGATCAGGCTGTAACCCTAACCGTTTTGGTCATGCTGCGCCCCAGCAACGCAGAACTCCTACGGATCTAGAGCCCAATCACCATTCGAAAAAAACTGGTCCGTGAAATCCAGGGTCTGGGATCATCACGGAAACTCGGTGCTCCTTCGCAACGTACTGGATGCAATCATCCACGCCTGGGATGCGAAAGCAATGGGCCGTCGGCGGAAGACGGCAGCTCTATCAAGCAAAATAGACCAATATGACTTGGCTTCGACTTCAGCCCATGGCTGGACATCACTCTGCCGACCTCCTGCAGTCAAGAGGTAAATGCCGCCATGCTCTTTCGGGCGCACGAAGCCGGAATCGCCAATTGAACTCTAGCCTCCGACGGCCCAGCCCTGTTCAATGACACTGGCCTGGCAGAGAGTCGGATGCATGGCACAAGATCCTGTACTAAGTCCCTCCCAGCAACGACATCACAATTCACTGGCCTGGACTGAAGAGGACCTCAAGGCTGCACGATGCTATCGCAGACATGGCGCTTTTCTCTACATCAGGCACCTGCCACACGTTAGCAAGTGTAAGTTGTAGGGGCCGTGCCACCCACACAGGTGAAAACCTCAAGAGCCACAGCAACCCATGAATTAGACTGAGTGACTAACGGACTGCCCCCCCGACTAAAACGAAAGCTCCGTGTTTGGCTTGACGATTGCCGGTGTTGGTCCGGGAAGTATACAAAGGCAGCCAGGCGAGCGGAAGAAAACGGGTCGAACTGCATGTCTATCGTCGCGCAAAGTGATCGGAGCATAAATGCCTATGACATGTTCCCAGCCGAACACACACACACACACGCACCCATACACCAGGAAAGAAAAGACTTCACGAAGAGACCGTCCTAGGCCTTGATGAGCTGATTGGAAAAACTACGTACCTCCAGATAGAGCCCACAACTATCTCTGAGACACTTAGAGTCTTAAGTTCAGAGAGACATTGCATTTCGGGAATGGCTACTGATCGCCCTATCGATGGAGACCCGGCCTTGAAGCTGGAGAGAGCTTCGGGACACCGGCTTGCGATGAGCTTTCTGGCAAGCTCTGCACCTCAGCCGCTTTCCGTAAACGCTCCGACGCCGACCACCGGATCATGTTTACCCCGAGAAGCTTGGTCAATAGGCCAGCCTCTGCAATCGAAGCTAAGACTCAGACCATCCACGAGCTCTGGCTGATTCGCCTGACACGTCGAAGTGTCATCGTGCCCATCATATAAACAAGATAACGCCCCTTCGTGGACCCGCATTGTGGCGCACAGTCTTTTCTGGTCAATTGTATGGTTCTCAAGCAAAGTGCCAGTTTTCAATTTCACAGGTAGCTTGCCAGAGGCAACAGCGCGCAAGAATTTTTTACGGTCGGAGATGCTTTTGCTGAGGTTGTCAATGTTGGAGAGACAGTTTGCATCGGAAAAGGTTGCAGTCGTGCATGCGTTGATGCCGAATGGTGCTGTTGCGGTTTTCGACTGGCTTGATTATTCTAAGATCTCTAACTCTACTTCTGGCTGTATATGAAAAAGTGCTCTCCCAGGCGAATGTCCTGTTCTTGAAGTTCACAGGTGGTTTGGTGCAGGCAGCAGCACATGGGCAACGCAGTTTTCGGAGACGTTGTTGCTGAGATCATCACTGTAAGGGAAACGGTTGCTTTTGCAAAACACAGCGTTCTGCAGTCTTGCGTGCTTTGATGCCGGAATGGTGCTGGCACGGCTTATTCTTGGACAAAGCTGTCATGATCACATCGAATTCAGTTCCTGAGGAAAGGCTGGATGCGGACAAGTAGCAGCATCAGTGTTTGCAATGCTGTCATGACGGTGATGGATGTGACAATGATGAGTATCCGAGTATGAACATGACCAGACCATCACCATGACGACCACAGTGGACGTCATCAACCCACACACAGAAAGGAAGCTAAAGCAGTGCGCAACCATCAGTAGCAACAACATGAAAAATCAAGACTACCAGATTCAAGGAGCATGGCATCAGCACCGCTACCATCATGAAGACACATGACCATCACCATGAAGACGACCACGTGCAACGATCTGCACAGACCGGACGTCATAACCCTAACCCTGAAACCCGGAAAACCCGCGGGTCGGAATAGGTGGCGTAAGCATAAACAAGTGCCTGGCATCAGACCAGAAGACGTGATGGATTAGCATGACTGCACCCTGCCCCGAAGGTGGGATAATAACCGGAAGAAGACAATCACACGTATCGCATGAGCACTCGGGACTGGGCGGCCACGGAGACACACAGCCAGTTCAGCCCAACTGGCTGCATCACGACAAGCACGCACGGCAGCGTCAAAAGCAGGTTGCGCAGGGGCAGAGGCTTCACCCACTCAACGGTTGCGGGTTTAGGGTTCAGGGTTTGGCACCTACAACAAGCAGGTTTGGATTCAAAGTTCGAGCTCACAATGCCGAATTCCCCTCTTGCAAACACCATCTTCTCTCTTCCCGCCATCCTCACTACTTTCCTGCCTGCTTCTGTGCCTCCTGTCAGGCTAAATCAGAGATACCAAAGCACTTCTCTGGATCCGAGAGATTAACCGCTGCGGAGATCACAGTTTCTTGTTGCTGTTCGTGGCGGTATCTGCTCCCTGCGGGGTGGCTCATGCCCCTAGGGTTTGCACGACCTGGAATGAACTGTAGAGGTAGATATGCAGATAAGCAGAAAAGCATGTGCTTCTTTGAAACAGCACCCACTCTGGAAGCAACACATAGCGCCGGACAAGAGTTAATTTAACAAATTCAAAAGACAATACCACGTCTAGTCGTGCGAGTTAGTTGCCGGGTCCGGCATGCAGGGAGCCCGGCCTCCTTCGAGCTCTGCCACCAACGTGACGACTGCACTGCATCTCTGCGGTCACCGCCTGTGACTCACCGAGAACTCGGCACACGTTTGTGCGACCCAGGTTTCCTCAAGAGGCACTCCACGACTAGACGTGCAATATGATGAAATGTTCGACGCGACAAGGCCTTCGTTAGGCCTGCCGTGCACGACCTGCTTTGAGTCACTGCGATGTCTTCATTTGGCACTTTGCAGTGCTTCCCGGGGACGGGACAGCAGACATGAAAAAGCCGCGGCGTGCCAGCGCAGCCGCAACCTCGACAAATTCTTGGCTGACTCCTGTGCAAGAAGACCGAATCTGGACTGATTTGTGTGAGAGCTTGCTGCTGCAGCTGCTATCAGTGTCACAAGAAGGATTTACAACTCGTCCATGCTTAACGCACTGGGCGCGGCAAGTAATGGACTTTTCTGCGGTCTAAACATGCTTAGACTCATGGAGACTGTCGCTTAATGCTGCATTCGGTACGTATGGCCCTTGCCACCGCATCGTTCGACCGCTACTCTGAAGCTCACTTCCACAAGGTCAGGTGTCTCTTCGCAACACAAAAGCTTCGCAGCTCGCAAGGTCCTGCAAAGTAGTCCTGACAGCAATTGCGGCCAAAGCGATGAGCAAAAGGAGGCCACGTAAGTTACGAAGTAGTGAGCAGAGGGGCCTATGACATCTAGCTGAGGCATCTTCAGAAAGCGCTCCTCGAGCTGGAAAAGTGTGACACCTTTCTCGCCGCGCGACCTGCTCCCAATTTGGCATGGTTCAAACTTCGAAGTGTTCGCGTAGTTGCGGATTCAGACCCGGCATATCCGCCGGCCTGCAGCACATGACGTTGTCCAGCTCAAAGGCGACCTACGTCTCGACCGACTGACCCTAAAGAGCAACTTGTGGGTTCAGCGTCCAGTGCTCTGAGTGCTGACGAGTCTCAACAGCAACCTTCCCACAGTGTTCGTTTCAACATGCAAGCATGCGACCATGCGGTGTGACGGCCGAGACTCAAAGCCTCGCGGGATCGGAGCCAGGAAGTCAAGCGCTCCACGCGCGTCTGCTCTCTCACCGCGAACCAGTCCTTGCTAGGCTGCAAAGTTGCAAAGGCTCCCCCCAAGACAAAACGACTCTCTTCACATGGCGAGCTGCAAAATACCAGCAGGCGATCCCAAGGCCAAATAACACCGAGAACATCGAATCAACCTGAGGCCGTGATCAAGGAAAGGCGGCCCACCGGGCACCGGTGCTGGAACTCAATCCGGCCAAGCCACGGCCTGGGTGCTGACTGAATTTGCACCCCGAGCTTTCGCGTCCTCATGTGCTTTCTGTTCCCGCCGTCGGGCTTCCTGCAATCACGAATGAACTGGCCGCCATAAGAGAGGCTATGCAGTCGATGAAGAGGCGACCATGGGCAACACGGCAAAAGATATGCAGTGAGGAAGCCAGCATGCTTCTGTTTTTCACTTTTGAAGCCAGCGCAGCGACCACGCAGAGGTCGGGTTCTGGGCTTGACTTACTGAGACATCGTGCTGCCGCATTGACCACACTTTGCCCTCTGTGCAGCCTGGAAAGCCCGGCCGCGCGGCTTTCTGGTACGCGGAACCCAGCGACCGTTTTGCATCATCAGCATCATTGCCTCCTCGCTTCTCCTTCCAATGGGCCATTGCACACTCGGGTGGGTGCCCAAACTAGGGCCATCCTGGTGGCCCCTCTCGTGGCTCACAAGGTAGGCCCCCCCCCCACCCCCGCCCACCACAGCTACCCCATCCGAAGCGGACGGAGTCTCTGCATCTGCGAGAGATGTCGAGTTCCGCAGCTACAAGTCACCAACTTCGCCTCGACGCTGATTGCAAGCAGCCTTCGCTGCAGCCTGAAGATACACAGCACCGCTACATCAAGCACAGGATGAAATTGTCACACTACAACAGTGATGCTGCTCACGACACGCCCACACAGCTGTCACACAGCCGTTGTCAATCTGAGTGACTCGTGTTTCCATCTACCCCCCCAACCAGCTCATCTGCCTGACATGCTGCTTTCGCCACGACAGCGGGCAACATGCGCTGCATGGCGTCTGAAGCCGCAATCGCGACAGCAGCTTCATTGCGCTAATTCTCACCTACACCTAGCTAGCCGCTAGCCGCAATTGATGCCGCAGTCCATGCTTGTTCCTGCTGTCCGAACATCCAGGACGAGGATACATGACGAGTATCAGAACTGCAATTGCTTCTATGTCGAGAGGAGGCTGGCTGATGGCACTGACCTCTTCATGCGTTGTCGGTGCTGCAGTGCTGCCGTGCTGCCTCGTGCCTTGGTCGGCTTTGTATTGCCTTGATCAGAGTTGAGGCCCTAGGCCTGAAAGCTCGGCGATGTTGCAAAACGAAGTGCACAGCAACGGGCAGTAATGGTGTCTCAATGTGGCTCGGGTGCTCTTGCACACCAGGCACCAGGGTCCCTCCGTTTTTGCTCTCATTGTTGCCACCGTTTTGCCTTCGTCTCCTTTGCAGCTCTGTCTCCTCTCCTCCTGGCACGGACCTCCCAGGCCTAGGCTCCCAACACGTCCCTCTCGGTTTCTTGACCGTCGCGACCAGGTCGTGACCAGGTCGTGACCAGGTTGAGCATGTCGCGCTGAGCGGCGGAGCGGCGGAGCGGCTCCGCCCAAGCGATCCGTGTCGGAGGCTGTCAATACGGAGCCGACCTCCCAGATTTTGACGAGACCGGGCCGCCCTCAGTGCTGCCACCAACGAAGCCACCGCCAGGCTCGGTGCTGGCCCTCGGAAGACCGGAAGCGAAAATCTCGCCTAGGAGTTTCGGGAGCTCTCTGGTAAGGGCAGCGCGCGCAGTTTCCAGCTCTCATGTTGGCACCATTGCCTCATGTGTTCGGGAGATTTGATTGAAGCAGAAGCTCGACTCTTGTACAGTCGAAGCTGAGGCCGTTGCCAGGACCTGCGGCCAACACGCAGTTGCCACAACCCCCACCACAACAGCAACCAGGGCTTGCACTACAGCCACCACAACAGCTACATCCACCACAGCAACCACAACCAGCACAACCACCGCAACCAGCACAAGCTCCGCAGCCGGCGCAGCCACCACAGCCACCACAGCCACGATAGCCACCACAGCCAGCGCAGCCACCGCAGCCAGCGCAGCCACCACAGCCACCACAGCTTCCACAGCCAGCACAGCCACCACAGCCAGCGCAGCCGCCACAGCTACCACAGGCCCCGCAGCCAGTGCAGCCACCACAGCCAGCGCAACCAGGGCAGCCACCACAAGCACCGCAGCCAAAGCCACCACAGCAGCCATGACCACCCACGCAGCCTTGCCCACACACCCCCTCACCTGGAACACTTCCAAAGTTTCCCGCGCCATTGCTTTGTGCGCAACTTCCAGCTTTGGGCTCCCCATTTGCTGCATCACCACCTTGTCGGTTCTTGGCAAAGGAGAACATTCCAACACAGGCTGGCAGAAGCAGCCGGCCTTCCGACCTGGACTGCATACCCATCATATTCATGGCCTGCAACATCAATTGAAGAGCAGGACACTTGGGGGAGCAACAGAGTGGAAACAGGTCGGCTTGGCCATCATGGGGTTCATGGAGGCCATCATCATCGGGTTCATCCTAGGCACTAGGTCACCTCATGGCAGCGTCGCGCTAACCGAGAGCCAAGCGCGCGGCATGCTCATCATTCCCATCATCATTGCCGGACTCATGCCTTGTGAAAACGAAATCTGAACAGTTCATCAAAGCATTTCACGGCACCCACCAGTCGGTGGCTCAGGCTCGTCACCTTTCTCGGCCTTCTCGTCGCCGTCGACCCTGGTTTGATGCAGATTAAACTTGTCACGTGCTTCGATGGGCATTGTCGCTTGTGGTCCACACAAAGCACCCAAACTGAGGAGCACGCTGTCCCATGGCAGTTTTCATTGACTGTTGCAGCATCGAACGTGCAGCCTGCACGCTGTTGCTCTCCCGTGCTTTCAGCCTACAACGCCTACCCTAGCCTAAGTTACACCTTGGTTGCCTGCATTTCGGGTATCTTTCTGATCGGGGTGATACGGACAGCGGCGGAAATAGCATACAGGTGGACGTCTAACAACAACTTGCCTTGCGGTCGTCCACAGCATCGTCATCGCTACTCGCCGTAGCCTGTCGTTTGCAGATGGAGATGAGCGCCTTGCAACAAGGACAGCGCCTGTTTCTTCTTCCGCTCTCGGTCGTCCCGGTAGGCAGAAGCCTCAGGATCCATGTGCCCTCAACATGCAGATGACGCAAAGGATGTTAGGTTCCGAATCAGTACAAAGGGCAGCAGAGCACAATCGCCCAGTGTGACACACAGGTGCCGCCCATCGATGAACCGCAGTAGGAGTGTTCAAGGACCACAAAGGTCCAGCACAAATGAGTGGCAACACGATACTGCAAGAATGTGGGGCTTGTCATGGTGCACGAGCTTTGCCCAATGTATCAGAACGCGCATCAAGGTGCGCAGGCAGTTCTGCTGATACACAAAGAGAGTCGTGCGAACCTGTTGGGGCCTCGAATAGCTCAAGCAACTTGTCGGACTTGTCGGTGCTCAGATCTACTTCGCGAAAACATGCATCTGAAATGATGCTCGAACCATCGGATTTATGAGATATTGCGACGTCGCTGTGCCTGGGAACTGGATCTCAGGTCTTAGCGGGCCCAGCGGAGTGGGCATCATTATCGTGTCGTTTCACATCAACCTGTCGACGAGCTGACTCTCACAAGCGACCCTGTGCAAGAGAAGCTAAAGCAAAACGCCCCGCCCACTTGTTGTCGATCATGTGCTGTGCGTGGGCCTCAACAGACAGGATTTCTGGAAGACATGAGCGAAGCAAAGCAACTCACGGCACTGCAGACTGCGCACCTCGATTGCGCGATCCACAGAGTCAAGCCGAGCAAATCGCACGAAGGCAAACCCTCGAGAAGTGCCATCGGGCCTTGCGGATGCCGCCGCAGAGTCCGATGGATGGTCAGAAATGATCAGCTTCTCTACACATCTGCGATGCCACGACGCTACTCCGGCTTCGTCTCCTCAGGCCCACACTGGCGCTTGATCTCCACAACCTACAAGAGATGCAAGAGTCAGAGGCTCGCTGTGACAAGCCCAGCGATGCGAATGTTGTGGACAACGCGTCGTGTATTAGCCAGCGCCCTCTGCGAATCCTTTAGAAGTCGCTGAGCTTCAGGCTGAGTCTTGACTTCTGTTTGGTAGCTCTGTTCCGGGCTCTTCGTATTACAGACAGTGTCACGAAGGGTTCCCAAAAAGGCCACTTCTGGCCTGGACCTCGCCAAATCTGGCAAAGTGCGCATGGATGCGGTCCTGCAGGAGAGCCAGGCGGCGCAGTCATCTCCCACAATCGAGGGGGGCTGACCTGCCTTTGCCAGGCATCTTCATCGAACCATGCAGAAACAGAAAAAGCTTGCCTTGGGCGAGGTCTTGTGCCCTTGGGTTCCCTGCTTTGCAACTACAATCCCAACAATTCCCCCATGTTGCTTCATGTATCCTAAGCTTGCCCCGGCACAGTCTTTATTCCTCCAATTTCGAGCCTTGGGCGTGTGCGGAAAATGCAGAGATTTTCTGGCATCGTCGCCCCAAGAATGTATTCAATTGAAACCGCACTCCAAGCAACTGTTGTTGTAAGTTCTTCAAAAGCACCGCATTCTTTCGCAAATACGATGGAACTTATGTCAGGGAAGCCTGCAGCTGCTCGTGGTTTCAATTCATGTAGGATGCACAGACAAGACTTTTTCGACGTCAATTGAACCCAAATGGGAAGTTGTTGTACAGGAGCTCTGCAAGATCAGCCGAATCAAAGCACCTTTTGGAATAGCTGTTCCTGAACCACGCCCGCAGGACCGGACCGTGCTTGCCGCTGCCGTCTGTCAACCGGCAAATACACGTTCAGACTGCGCCACAGTGATTAGAGCCTGCTGATCGCACCGACGAATCTTGTGCTTCCTCAACTCACGTCGTCCACGTGTGTGTCACGAGCCCAACCAGCAAAGTTGTGTACCAGGCATGGAATGTGACATCAGGCAATCAGTCATGTTGCACTCTCGGCACGTTGACGTGGTGCCAGGAGCTGTGAGCTACGATGAAATGTCGACACGGTCGTATCTTTCGACTGTCTTCTCGCCCGTCCAAAGGGGTGTCAACTCAGCAAAACCCGCTTAGCAAGAACACCATTCTGACATCCTGAACGCGACACTACCAAATCCCAAACAATTAATACCAAATCCCGAACAATCAATAACTGTCAAAGCCATCTTTCTCGGTCATGACGGCTGTAATGCAAACACTGCATCTTATGCTGCAGGTGTAAGCCCTATGTAAGCCCTATACCTAAAACCTGGTACACCAACATGAATCTACATCCAAGATTTCAAACCGGAGCACCATGGAATCCAAGATATGCAGACACAAGGATGGTCATCAGGGTGTGGGAGGACGCGGCGTAGACTCATAATGACGCTCGACGGATCGCAAGCTTGCAGAGGCCCTTCCCCATCGCATGTATGGCTCTGTATATCGTACGCCCGCACTCCGATTCAATCTAGAAGCCACCTATAGCGCTTTTGGAATGTACTGCAGAGTTTCTTCGCCCCTACTTGCAGACTGCATCATGAAGCGACCACAGCGACCACACGAAAGCCAAAACCAGAAGCCCCGGCAGTTTGCTCCTCTGTGGTCGTCTTTCGAAGCCCTCCAACGAAGATCCGGTATGAGTTGGGGTCCACCTGCCAAGAAGCTTCAAAACAAGAAGGGCGTGGGAAAGCCAACTCCCCACGAGGCCTTCCCAGTGCTTGCCTGTCAGATTTTCAGGGCCACTCACTGTGGCATCTGCTGTCGCTGTGCTGTCGCGCAGCATGTCGAACCTTGTTGGACATCTGCTCCACCTGGGCCAGTCAGTGCACAGGGCTTCCGGTGCCCAACTCCGAATGCAAGGAGTCTGGCAGTCGATGATCGGCCATGTGCGGATCACGGCTGGGGTATGACTAAGAGCACCACTCCGAAACAA